CCCCCCCCCCCCGTGTCACTCAACCCTGTCTGTGTCTTTGCCATCGGTCGCGAGATTATTTTTTTCATCTTCATCTAAACACTCAGTGCCTATTTCCCCATAAATACTAGTCCAACCATGCCTAAGGGTGACATACGCCGCACAATCCTCCCCTCGCGCGCCACTTTTCACTCACATACACACACACACACCATATGACCCATATTTGAACCCGCATACACATGCGTTCAGATCTCAACAGGACAACAGTTTATTGAGCCCCAGGGTTGGAAGCGTTCGATGTTTGGCGCACAGGCCATCTGGTTAGAGCTCTCACGCTCCAAGTACTAGTCCCTGCTCCCTACTTTTCTAACCTCCCGAAGTATGCTCAACAAACACACATGCTGTCCACGAAAGACGTAAATCCAGATGTTGTTCCGGTATTTGGCTGTTTCTGTCAACCCCACTAGATCGCTTTTCTTTCCATTTCGTTTCAGAAGAACCATACATTCCAAGCTATATGGACCCGTCCAGCGGCCCCGAGCCCTGTGTCGTGTGCGGTGACAACGCAACCGGTTTCCATTATCGAGCCATGACTTGTGAAGGATGCAAAGGTTTCTTCCGACGATCTATTCAGAAGCAGCTTGTTTATGTATGCAAGTTTCAAGGCAATTGTTCCGTTTCCGACAAACACAGTCGGAACAGTTGCCAGAAATGTCGGTTCGACCGGTGCATCCGCGGGGGTATGGCCCGAGAACGTGAGTTTTTTCCCCAATGAATATTTACTGTCATTCACGAGTTCAAAAACAGAGCTTGAAAAACGTTTACGTATTGCTTTCAAAGCACAAAACATACATTTTTCCCCGGTTGTTTGTGGAATTCTTTTCAGGGTTTTTCTCTTAGTTTCCCGACATCAGCGGATTGTTTGACAACAGACAGACTTGAGAATCATGTGTTGTTATCTACAAAGGCAGTAATGATCATTTAGACCAGTCAGTCAGGCTTACTACGAATGAATATCCAATGCACTTTTTTGCTTGTTTTCCTTGACTGTAATCAGCAACAAGACCAACGGTTGTTTTGCTCTTATTCGGGCCCATCATCACTGTGTCCACTGAGGCTCGAGCTATGGCGTGACGGGTGGCGTATGGTGCCAAGAGCTTAGCCAGTCGAGCTTCTGTAGCATGGAGACTGGATTTCCTTGGCAGTGAGAGGGAGGTGTAGAGAGGATATAACAGGATACACCTGTCTATCAGGGTTATCTTTACGGGCATTATAAGAACAAGTTCAATAAGGTAAGCCGCGAGGAATTAGTTGCTTTGATTTGGTCTCAGTGAAGATGAAAATATTCAGCCCTGACACTTTCGGTACATTGATACATCGACATCATCATCACCATCATCATTGTCAGCTGCAATAACCGCGTGCCTGTCGTACAGTGGGTGTAGCTGCCGCGGTTTTGTTCACCGATGATTCGGGGAGGTGGGGTAGGTAGCTGCGCATTGCAAGCGGGAGATGATAAATTGGTGTCGTCGGAAGACGGCTGGTAAGTTTGCTGGTAAGGGCTTTCATACATCGCTTCCAAGTCATTGTTTGACTGCCTCTGGCTTTCTTCCACCCTTCACGTGGTTGTGCGAAAACAGCCCTTCGAGGAGGGCTCACACAGTTGGCTGTGCTCTTCATCGACACACTATCCGAGTGATCCACCGCTCAGGAAACACGAGGGATGAAGCCGAGTGATCCACCGCTCAGAGTTGTACCCGGAGGAAACATGAGGGATGAGACAATGCGAATTTGTTCGAACCACAAACCTCCGGGTCAATAAGCTCGCGCCTTAACCACTGAGCTGTTTCCTGACCAGTATGTGAACAGCTTCAGATGGAAGTTTGACATCCGAAGGGATTCTCTAGGAAATTCCGTGTTGAACGTTATGCTAGGCATGAACAAAATTCGATTTCGTTTAAAGCAAAACCGGACGTGAACTACTGAGTGGAGCGGTGGATTCAATGTTGAGGGGAGATAAATAGGTCACCTAGCGTGGTCTTGGAGCATGGCCAATACTCTTGCATGTCAGTGAGCCAGACTAGCAACTTCCTCGTCCCACATAAATAAAAAGGCCAGCACTAATGCAGTGGGAGCTGGTGGGACGGTGACGTCGTAATCAACCTGCTACATAACTTCATTCTCGAGGTCTGCATGACATCCCGGTTTTCATATCTCCTAAGAGTT